CGCCAAAGAAACTGATATGTCGGCCAGATCTAGTAGTACTGCTTGTCCGACTCCCGAATTCCGTATGTCCGTATTATTAGCTAGGGATGAGCACTCGGGTTCTCAAAAGGAGCTGCATAACAGATCTCCAGCTATGCGAACCAAATCGGTACATTCACGCGATAAATCTGGTTTAAGAACGCGTGATACACTGAGATTGGTTAATGAGAAACAACCAGCTTCCTTATATGAGGTATGCTACTTTTACACATAAAAAAATATAACAAATGATATCAATAATTTAGATTGGACAAGTTTACTTATAAGGTGACCTTAATACTGTCAGTATTATTGACCATGTAGAATCGATAAGAAATCCCTGTTTTTTTTTGTTTTTTTTTTTTCATGATTCCAAAAATTTGATTAATTTTTAAACAATTTTTTATTTGTATAGAATAACATAAAGAATTGCTTTATTAAAGATGTAATTTATGAATACAGGGACAAGGACAAGATGAAGATAGTGAAGCGGAGAAATTGTCACCATTGTTAGATGCAGCGACAAATACTGAAGCTTTAGATGTACATTCCCATAGAATATGCGATATTGACATTGATGATGAGATTCAAAATACAGGAAATGAAAATGACGCAGACATTACTTGTCACTCGCACTAGAAAGTAGTTGAAAATTTATTTTTACATGATATTCTTATTTTATCAAATATTTACGAAATGGTTTATTTCATGTAAATTTTAAGTACAGACCGTTTATTTATTCAAAGGCTTTGAACTAGAATTTGAATTTTTCGCAATTTCTGAAATGTAAAGTATTAAAATTATGCATTGATTAACCCAGCATGAATGCTTTTCATTTAAGTAACTTTTGCGAGGGAAGTAAATGAGAGAATAATAGAGAACAAAAAGAAGAAAATATAAGTTAGCTCAAAATACCATAAGTGCAATACGATAAATGGAAAGCCATTAGGTAATTTGTGAATATGAATGTAGAAGTATAAGTTGGTTTATATAATTTTAATTATCGTAGATATTTGTGTAAAATTACTCAGAATATATATTATTTATTTTTGTAAGAAATATTTACATATAATTTCTATTAATTATATCATTATATATACATATATATTGTGTGTAATATAGATTATATTATATATAATATATATATAATTTATATACATGTATGTATATAGATGTTATACATATACAGGGTGTATACTAACAAATACGCTAAAAAATTTTAAGGAGTGACTCAAGGTATACTGCCTTAGGTTACGTTTCTAAATTTGATTCTGCCAATTCGAGTATCATTTTATCCTTGTTGTTCATTGAACAAGGATAAAAGATACTTGGAGTTGATAATCAAGTTTTGGAATGCATCCCAGTATATTTAAACCATTCTAATTATTTTGGAAATTTAAATATATACAAAATTTTATCAAAATAATTGGAATGGTTTTCGAAATTTGTAGAAAAAATGAAATTTTTCTTTCAACACTTTGACACCCTGCATCTTTGAAACTAAATCGTTTCGGACGTATGGTCATATGAAGTTTTCATCTTGAATTTGTGAGAATCGCCTCTGAAAATCTTTTTGTGCACTTACAATTAGTATATATTTTACATATGTACATACATATATAAATAGTTTAACAAATAGGATTTGACTTAGGTTTAGGTTTATTTTTTTCTTCTATATCTTTAAAGACTGTAGAATTGGTCGAAGTCTTGCGAAAGTAGAAATAGTCGAATTGTGTTACTAAATGGAAAGCCCCTAATTTTATAGTATAGAAATATTTTATTCTGCAAATTGACTATAGTATAAGGTACGAAAAATTATGTTTCTCATAAATCCTTATACTGTAATTATAATTGTTAGAATCTCGAGTAAAATATGCATATATATATATATATATGCATATTTTATAATGCATATATATATATATATATATACACAATTTATCAAATTGTGAAGACTGGGATAATTCTTTGTAAAAAGAAAACACAATCTCATTTTTTAGATAATAAAAAATATTCATCAAATTTATTTACATACAAATCGACTTTAGATAATAAAAGTGCTTCCATTCGCATTTATTATTGATTTTTATTTTATATGAGGCGACTAGATTCAGGCTGTGTTCCAAAATTCACTGGCAGTGCTGGAAATGTATAGTATACGTGATGTAAACTGTAGATTTTCAGCGCTGGCAGTGAATTCTGGAACACAGCCTCAATTAGATATATAAATTTGACATTGTGGGTAGTAAATCTGATAACATGTAAATTTCACATCGATTGTCAAACTTATCCATTCAAATTTACCATTCCTTAAAATATCTTTTTGTAATGAATATTTCTAATTTTTATCCATTTTTTTGAATAAATCATATTCTTTAATATAAAATTACGTTAATTCACAAAAATTTTTTTAATGTAGTAGGAACCACTATTAGAGCCCAAACTCATATAGAAATAGGAAATAATTATGGATATTACATTTTAGATTATTCTAGGATCTTTAGTAAATATATACTCGTTTTTTTCTGATTATATATTTTATTCAATTCAATATCCAAAATGTTCCATGTTTATTCAAGCTGCAGCAAGTACTTTCCTGAACTTTTTCCACTCTTCGAGCGGTCCATGTTCTGGTAGATACTTGACATTGCAACCGTCCGGGGCAAGACGGCCCGCCACTTTCAGTTCCTCGTATTCGGTACGATCATATTTCGTGAAACCCCATTTCTTCGACACGTAAATCTTTTGGCGACCAGGGAACTTGAACTTGGCACGTCGCAGAGCCTCAATGACAGCCGCCTTATGACGATCAGAAGAACGCACGCTCATAATAGGCTGACCAATATGTACTCTGGCTACAGTACCTTGAGGCTTACCAAAGGCACCTCTCATTCCAGTTTGAAGCCTGCAAAACAATTCGGATTACAGAAATTTCAGAGATAACTACATGTTAGACCATAAGATATTACAAGGGTGTACAACTTTGACTTTTTTGCGACCATTCAGGGATCGTTTTATTCCTATATTTTCATATATATTTTTCTTTATGAAAGAAAATCGAAAACTATTATAGTAATGACGCTACACTCAAAGAAAAATTAATACATTAAAATATAAAATAAGATTCTTATTCACATTGTGATGAAATCGTATATATATGTGCATGCATGCGTGTGTGCATGCGTGTGTGCGCTTCAACATTAAAAACTAATTCAGAATTGTCGATCCAATTTTTTTTTAAATAACTAAAACAAAAAATTGACAGTGATTTTATAATATTATAAATGAGAGTATCATTAACATCATTTCAATGTACCAATTATTCCTTGAGTGTAGCATAATTATTATAATTTTCAGTTTCTATTTTTAAAAAATACATAAGAAGATATAGAAATAAAATGATTTCTGAACGCGTGAAAAAAGTTGTACACTCCTTTCAAAAGATATATTTCTAAGAAATAAAAATTCTATTATCTTAACATAATGAAGTTACATACCTATCAGCTCCAGCACACGATAACATTTTATTGATACGGATAACATGGAACGGATGGAGTCTCATACGAATATGAAATTGATCTTTTCCAGCATTCTTTACCATGTATTTGTTAGCACAAATACGTCCGGCTTCTAAGGCCTCAGAACTGAGTTGTTCATATTCATCTGACACCAGATGCACGCACAATGGAAAGTCCTCGACAGATGCTTTTTTCTTTCCGAGATCGAAAATACGGATCTTTGGGTCCGGCACACCGCGACAGAATCTGGATTTCGGGTACGGTTTATTTTTACAATACCGATAACTAAAAAGAAAAAATTCTCAAATGTAACAATGCTCTCTCTATTACACATTTTAATATTCTTTAACATTAAATTTCAATATTGAGAATTTCTATTAATAAAATTGTAATATTAAATTAGAATTACAATGCATTTTTATTGCCATTATGTAACGCAATTGCAAATTTTTATTTAAAATGTGGATAATTGTCTAAAAACATTTAATTTTATGATACAGGGAATATAACATTCGTGAGTATCCTTTGTATCAAAATACCATATAGTATCGAAAAAAAAGTTACAAAATTTATTGATAAGATATATATTTTTAAAATTGATGAATCCAACGAAATAAAAATCCCATTACTTACCACCTTGCTGGTCGACGGCCCATTTTAACCTGCAAATTAAATGGAATTTGTATAAAGAAACGCTAGAAATACATAAACCAACGTGTCGAGAATAGTTCAAAAGAATCCAGCATGCATGGAAACATTTAATAAATATTATGATGTTGAAAGAAAACAATGGATTAAGAAATGTGACATCTCACCAACTCAAATAAGGCTAACCATACGAGAAAAGGAAAATGAAGGAAAAGAAGAAGTAATAAAGGTATCTTTACATGGCAGCGTCAAGCGTCGAGCATCGTGAGATTACTATTCGTCAATTTTGATCACGTGACCTGTTTTTAGCGAATAGTAAGCTCTAGTAAGCTCATAATGGTCGCGTTTAGCAGACTCAACTGTGTGGAGCGGATGTTATGGCAGTGAGCTCTCGCTGCTATTGGATGATCTAAAAGAATACACCAATAGCAGCGAGCGCTGACGAATCCGCCCCACAACAGTTGAGTCTGCTGAACGCGACCAATGCTCGATCGGTTTGATGCTTGTCGCTTGACGCTCCTTTGTAATGGCACCTTAACGTAAAAAAATTGGCTGCGTTCAGCAGACCCAACAGTTTTGCAACCGTTTTATGATTGTCTGCTGAGATAGGACCATTCTTCTAGATCTAAAAGTATGATCCAATTAGCGCGAAGGAAACTTCCAACAGTTGCAAAACAAACGTTCTGCTGAACGCAGCCATTGTGGGGAATCTAGCAGTCATGCAATGATAATAAGTTATTTTTCAAAGTGTAGGTTTGTTTTCTGTACTGATTAATGCACTAATTTGTTATATGCATAACATGTACACATGAGAAGTATATAAATTTTGCAGTTTCTTTTTGTATATATATATTTTTTTTTAAGCACCATGCCATTCTGTTACATCAAAAATTGCACGAATCGTATGCGGTCAAATAATATAAAATTTTTTAAATTCCCGAAAGAACCTGTTGTTTACCAGCAATGGCTAAAGGCCTGCGGAAAAAAGGAAGGAGAATTACCTAAATCTGATAAGTTATTGAAATTTATATTAATAATTTATTATCATGTAATTGTATTTTATATTATTTTGACAGACTAATAAATATACTATAAAATATTAATTTAATCTAAAGGGCCGATATAAGCCTCACAGAGTGTTATTAAAACACTGGTTTGTCTCAAGTCTGTTTACACGAATTCAAATTTAATAAGAAGTAATAAAAGAAGAAATTTCTAGAATTATAAAAACAAACAACCTTTTAAATATTGGTCATACTCTATGTGACAATTGATGTCATATAGCAAATTTAAATAAATTAATCTCAGAAACATAAAAATTCTCACACATTGAAAAGTTGGCAACAAATTTATAAATTGGGTAACATACACATATAGGCTACGGTTACACCGTACGACTGATAGCGACCTGACCTATATCGTGACCCAAAGTAGGTCTAGTCACCAACCGTTTATACCGAAAGGGACTTAAAAAATGGTTGGGTCATATTTAGTCCACGCTGGTCCGAATTAGAGCCATCTATCGTATTTTGTACAAATTATTTCCATATGGACCCAAGAATCGCTAAACGCATGCGCATTAAGTCATGAAAAAGGCGCTTATAGCAAGTAGACGTAAGTATGGCTACCGGTTTAACCTAACTCTCAAATTCAACAAAACAGCTGTTCGAGCAAAATGGCTACGAAGCTTCAGGTCGGGTCAGTCGCGAATTTACACCGAGAAAGCAGACGACCTATTTTAGGTGAGGGCGCCAAAAAATACGGCCTGACCTACAACAGGTTGGGTCAGGTATAGTAGTATTTACAGCGAGCGGCCTAAATAATGTGACCTGAATTAGGTCGAATTTAGGGTATAGGCCGCGGAAAAAACGTACGGTGTAAACCAGGCCATACATTGATTATTTCTGTAGAGATGTTACCTACTGAATAAAATGGAAATATAAAATCAAGATTTTGATTAATTGTAATTATGTTCAAAGAGGATTAATAGATACATATTCTGGAAACCTTTCTTTAACAAACTAATAACTTAAAAAGAATACTTATATAACAGGAAAGTTATGTTATTAATTTGTTGTTATTTATATAACAGGAAAGTTATCAGTTTAAAAGTTGAAACGTTTGTTTTTATAATTTTATGTTAGATTTGGAAACTTTTTTTTCTTATTAAATTTCAATTCATATAAATCGATTTAAAACAAACCAATGTTTTAACACCCTGCGAGATTTATCAGCCCTTTAGATTAAATTTGATTTATTTTTTTAGCCTTGTGTGTGCATGTGGATATAGAATTTTTAAACTAAAATATTATATACTTTTAGCAACGATATGTAGTATTCATTTTGAGGAAGACTGCTTTCAGTGGATGAAGCCACGACAAGATAATGTACCACCTAATCAGATATGGCGATTGAAGGAAAATTCTGTCCCTACAAAATTGTTGAAAATGGAGGAGAAACAAAAAAACGATAATAAAAGAATAAAAGTGTAAGTATTTTCTTCGTACAAAGAAATTTGGAAAAAGAAATATATAATATGATTAAATAAATTGGAAAAAAGAGAATGAATACTTTCCTATTTTTCAGAGCACATACAGGTATACCAACCTATGGAGAACTTGTACAATATGCACAAAAAAAGCAGTATATGCTTTCAGAGGAAACAATTTGTATAGATACGAATATTTGTAAAGATGAATCTGTTTTGCTTTCAGATGTTGCAATAAAAGAAATCACGTATGTAACACAATTTAATCTATATTTGTCGAGTATCTTTCATTACTATCTGCATTATATTAATGTTTATTTTTTCTTTAATCATTTCTAAAGTAATCTATATTTCTTTATTATAATTATATAAATATAGGATAATTCCAGCAAATACACTGCGCTGGAATTTACGCAGCAGAAGTCAGAAAAAATAGGAGTGGAAGTCATTTTCCCGAAACTATTCTGTTACATGCCTTTATGTCATATTAGTATTGTGTTATGACTTCAGTTTCTTATTGTTAATATTAATTTAACTATATTTAAAAATGTCATTAAAACATCAATGAAAAACTATCATTGAGAACTAATAAATTAATTTAGCATAATATATATTAATTTAGCATTATCAGTCAACTTTAAGGTGCTCCTTGCCTTCAAGTGAATGCAGGTTCACGAAATGCTGGCATTAACAATGGATCACGATACCTGCAAACCCTTTAAAATCTCTAATTTAGCATTAATTTAGCATTCGAACTTCGCAGCTGCATTTTTGGCCATTTCTTATTGATTCACTACACATTTATGTCACATGTGACATGGTGCGCAATGATACACTTGTCTTTTTATATCATGATTATGATTATCGACAGTTGTCGATAGCTGTGTACAGAATCTCGGCCATGATCGATCTGGATCCTACCTTTTTGTAATTACATCAACAAATATTACAAAAAAGGACGTACTAAATACAACAGAAATTGAATCAAGTCTTATTGATAATTGAAACTCTTGGCTCTCGCAGATAGAACGCGATAACGCTTGTCGCATGGCGGAAATTAGCGCAATAGCCAATCATTCTTTCGCCTTTACGGAAAAGCGGTAAACTGACTGGTTCTCATATCAATTTCCGCCGTGCGGCAAGCGTTACCGCATTCTGTGTACAGGAGCCATAATGTTGCAACGGTTCTACTTACAATTATTTATGTTACTATAAGTAACGCTTTGAGTATCCTCTCAGAATTAACAGAAGTTAATTTGGTGGAAGTTGAAAATGTTGTAACTGTTCAGTGAGTTGAACGCTCAGTGAGCGGTTGTAGTATCGAATGCATCCAATGTTTCTTTGTTACAAACTTACGTTATGCAAAAAAACAATCGCGATATAAAAAAAACGCATACGGTTAAATGTATATATGCACATTAACAATTAATCATATTTATATTATCTACACACTTGTACATATATTTATAATGCTAATGCATTATCAAAAGCTTAATACACTCCTTGAGATGTATTTATAGAATAAATATTTTAACACATGCTATTAGATTTACAAAAAATCTAGACCTCTTTATTTTATAAAGGATTTATCCCAGGGCGATTATATATTATTTTTTACAAGATTAGTTATTTAAAGGTTCTTTTGTAACGGGAAGTTTAACGTGTTATGGAAAGACGGTATATTACAAACGCCATAATCGTTTAAAGTGTTAAATAACTTCGCCCATTATTTATACTTGTGACAGGTTTTGACAAGTTTTATATACAGGTTCCTTTCTCACATTATAATCTACACTAGTACTCTGGTTCATGAAAATTGACTTATACACATTCTTATTTCTTAGGAAATACACTGTACAAAAAATACAAGCCTATTATCTAAAAGACCTCAAGTATTACTTATTTTGTTCTTTTGAATTCCTCCGAACACTTAAAAAAAATCCCAATGCGTGTCCGCGTTTCATTTGCTTGAGAGATGTTTGGAAAGTCTAATCTCTATTTCTAATGCTGTTATAAGCAATCACATCATCGATCGCCGGATATACATACATATTGAGTTTATGCAGAAAAACGAAAATATTTCTAATTTTTTAACGCAACAAGAGAAATTACTTATCACTTATTCTGTACATCTGACAATTTAAATAAATTCATTTGTATAAAGAAAAAGAATTTTTTTACTGATGAAAATAAGTGACGGATAATTATATGTATAAAAGTGCTTTATAGACGATATGTCTTGATGAAAGATAGGTAACGTGTGTGTATCATTTGTTTGGCAGTTAAAGATATGCAGTCGTCCCCAAATAAACGCGACGCGACAGAAAAAAGTTGTTGAAGTCTGCGTTCGACTGCTTTGTAGATTTATCATGAGGTAGCTCGAGACTAACTGGTCATAAAAAAGTTAAGTAATTACATTAGTGAAATCTGACTTACTGAACGAAATCGATCCCGAATGGGAGATTCTGATTTTTATATATCTCGCCGGAATACAAAAAATTATTGCAGCAAAACAATCGACTCTAAAATGTGATATATCAGGTAAAAAATATGTTGGCGTTATTAAAATATCAATTATAATATAATGTAACAATTTTCAACATACGCCATATGTATGTACATATACTGACAAGGAATGATTCTGAGTTACACTAAAATGTAGCACTCCCATGTCCGTTAGTGTCTGTAATCACGATAGGTATGAATCTACGTACTGCCATCATTAATGATGCATATACTCTCCATCTTGCCTTTCTGAGCGACATACTCCTGGCTATTTACAATTTTAACGGAGATTTCTATTCGTGCCGCCAGGTCGTACGTTCCCGCGCTGAGCAGCACAGCATGTAATTTCATGATATTACTTGTATGCGCTTCAATATCGGAATAAATTGATGAGTGGCCAGCGTACTTGTAGTATGTCGAAGCTTGCGGTGAGTACAGCTGAGACTTAACATTTGGAAGATGAGTTTCGCTGCAAAAGAAAATTGCATATATATATATATATATATACACATGTAAAGAGAAAGTAATATGATAAGAATAGAACAATAAATCGCAATGTTAAGCACGTTAAATAATAATATTTTATATATTATATTAGATGAAAGATGTTTCTAAAGTTCTAGGAATTATCCTCTACATCTTTTTTTATCAACATCACATAGTTAAACTATTTAATACACATTTATCCCAGCGCAAAACTATTTTTTTCGTAGGCAGTCTTCGAAAATTTTTCGAATATTTTTTATCTATCGATTTATAAATCGCACTAGATTTCCAGAACTTTGGAAATATCGCTTGTAAATATTTTATTTCTCTCACCTACTAGTACCTATCGTACTTATTTTAACGTCGACTCGCATCTCCGAGTGATTTTGTAAATACATTATTACGGGGACGATGCACAATCGGCTTTGCCGAAAATCGTGTGTGACTTGCCTTTGATGACTGAGAGAAAAAGAGATTAGACTTTTCAGATATTCCGCTTCCCATATAGGATCCTTAAGAGGAACAGATACTGCATTTGATACGTTTCGGTCCGGACCGAAAATTTTCAAACGAGCGCCATATTCATTACGCTCGGTGCGCGGATCCTTCGGATGTTTATACGTTTTGTTTAAATGCTCGAGTTCGAGATGATGCTGTCCAACCGCCATCCGAGTAATCACACCGCTCTCCGTCACGTTGGCGCACCATTTGACAATCAGTGTAGAATTCAATGCCATGACATCCGATACAGAGTTGCGCTCAGCATTCTGTTGCGATTGAAACTGTTGTGCGTCACTCGCACTTTCATTCACGTCCAGCGGTTGAATATGACGTCTCTGTACAAAATTAATAAACGGATAACTGTTGGTCAACGTCTCGCCGCCTTCGTTGGGAGTTAAGGACACGCTTGAAATAATCGACTCGCCATCAGCCTTCCTCTTTTTCAGCTTCAGCATCAGATGGAACACCTCTTGAGGTTGTACCTTTATGCTTGGCGGCAGAACCGAGGAGTGAAACGCGGACCATACGGCGCTCTGAAGTGATACTTCGGATAAGATAATCTCATTTATAGATGGATCGTGAACCTGATTCGTATTCTTAACAGACATGATTAAATTTAACGTCGGCGAGTCATCCTTGAACAATCTGCTTCTGGCAGCAACCGCGGTAATTTGTATTGAGTCTAACACCGTTAATTGCCAAGTGTGTCGGCACAAACGGTGTTTCAAAGTAGCTTTTGATTCGACGCTTTCGTAATAGAAAAGCAAATCTAATCTGTAAGTGCCTTTTACATGGGGTGCTTGCACCCAAAGTGGCATTTTGTGAGTTTCGCTCACATTCAATATACCATTTTTGGAAACTGGTAATATCACCTTTGTGACTAACTTACTGCTCTTCTTTGCAATTGAATCTGTAAGTTCAAAATATAGCAAAATATTGTTACATTTAATAAGCCATATAATAATAATAATGGCATATTTTAGACAAAAGAGGAATACAAAGATATCTTACCTACGAAAACAAAGTGACAAAATAAAATATACGTCTTAAAGATATATGCTTACCTTCACTTCCGAATTTATCAATTTCTGTGTTTCCTAATGTAAAAAGTTTCGCGTCGGTGGATGCGATGTGTATGTTCGTCAACGGTGCATTACCTACATTCTTTAACGTGACTTCTACCCTTTGTACCTCGCCGCATAGCATTTCTGGCGATAGTTTAGTGAAGAGTATCTATGAAGAGAAATATGAATTTCAAATTTTTGCGTCGCGCGACATAATATCGTTTTTCGTAAAACTATACCTGCATAAATGCCGCCTTCTCTATCACGTTCATTTCCAGCCTATAATCCTTCCCGTACATATTCACACCGGGTTTCTCTTTGATATTTTTTAATTTGGGCGGCGTAATCTCAAATAATCTTTTACCGGCGACAATGGTCGAATTTGAGATTGATGAATCACTTGTCATCTGTACTGGATTGGACAATTTATAACTTATACCTAAGATCTTCAATTCGCCCACTTGTCTGGGCGTAAGAGACAACACGATATTCTGTTTGCATGCTGGTTGCAACAGAATTGTATCTATAATATCTGAAACGACCGGATTTGAATTATCGGTTGTTTTTATTTCATTCGTGATAGTCTCGTTATTGCAAATGAATGACCACAACAGGGTCACGTCTGATAGTGGTAGCGGGACGTGTAACGGATTGTGCAACTCGATGGAATAATGCACAGGTTCGTCTAGAACTGCATTGGGTTTTACGGAGTTATTACTTGTTCTAGAGTACAACGCAATTGTCGGTTTAAATATCATAGGCGGAGAACCCTGCGCCTCGGTTATCAGCAATTCCTCCATTTTCGACCATCTCGCGTCATCCGTCTCTTCAGTATTGAACGTAACGTGACTCGCTGGAATATTGCTTTCGGTTTGTTTGCCTAACGGACCGTACAGTACTTTGATATTGTTGTTATCTAATAACGGCAAAGGTAAAATAGGAAGTACTGTATAACTCGTACCGTTTTCCTGAAACAACTACACCACGGCCCTGGATAAAAACCATCTAAGCTATTGATTCTTTATAATTGTTATTTGTGTGGCTGCGTATTATACTCACGTTACGACTATGTAAAAATTCTCGTAAAAATGCAGCCTGTTGCGGAGCGTGTTGTTTACTTGAAGCATTAAGTAACTTTTCAAACGCCTTTACCGCCTCGGAAACTTGTTTCAGAGATGCAGCCTGCCTGCCGATCGTGAAATGTATATGATCCTCTGCCAAAGACCAGCCCCTTTCATAATATACCTGATATGCCATATGTTTGTTTTTTTATAAAAGAAAACTTCCAACAAAATGCGATGCTTTCACTGGAGACAATGATATGTTCGGGTACGTGTACGGAAATTTGATCTAAAACATTTGATCTAAGACCATTTGCTCCAAAAAAGATTTTATCTAACGGCGAGTTGATCTAAAAGAGATTTGATCTAACGGCGAGTTGATCTAAAGAAGATTCGATCTAATGGTGAGTTGATCTAAGGGTAGTTTCGAATAGTTGTTTTATAAGAAGTCTAGGGAATCTCACTTTATATGAAACATGTATCCTTAGACTAAATTGTTAGATCAAATTTCCATTAGATCAATTTGCCATTAGATCACATCTCCTTTAGATCAACTCGTCATTAGATCAAATGGTCTTAGTGATTTAGATTAAATTTCTGTAAATCGTTCGGGTACCTACCTGATACGCTTGTTGATAACACCTTAAGGAATGCTTTTTTTGGCCAGCTTTCGAGAATCTATGTCCAGCCAGAACCGCGTGGAAGGCATATTTGCGCATCATTTTCGGGCCGATAAAGCAATAAGCAGCTTGCTCGAGCAGTAAGGCCGAACGTAAATCGGAATCCTCGCTGGTCATCCGTATCAACTGCTTCGCGGCTTCTCCATATAATCCCCGACCCTTCAAACACTCGGCACTGAGCAGCGTCGCCCTTGTCGCGAACTGAGGCGTCTTACAACTATTTGCAAAAGTTAATATTGCATCGTCCATGTACTCGATAGTCTTTCTGTTCGTTTCGCCTTGCATAAAAGCGCTTAAAGCAGCCATTTCAAGAGCGCCAGCGTAATACACCCAAGCCTGATCTGCTGCAAAGTCGCGCTTCGCGCTGTGATATGCCTGATAAGCGAGCGAATAGTGACCAAACATGAAACACAGATCGCCCAAGCGTCGTAATTGTAATTCTGGCGATTCTGCTGTGTAACTAAAACATAAACGTACAAATTTTCAGAGTTACTAATCGTGTCACGTTAGTATAATTAATTTCAAGATAAGAATCATGGAAAAAAAAATCCTTTTCTTGTAAAACATAAAGATTAATGAGACATGATTTTCTCTTACATTACAGCATTCGATGGCGCCGAACCTGGCACACCAGGCTTATTTGTACTAAACCACCTTTTCGTAGCGCTAAATAGCGATCTACTGACTCTCTTGTTTGAAATCACGTCGTTCAATAGGCCAATCTGCTTTTCTACATAAGGCAACAAGCTCCGCAAACAAAATTCCGTTATTAATGTCCGTAATCTTTCTAAATCTTGGGTGGAAAGACGAGCACCGTGTTGAGCTACCACATAATTCGGAGAATCCGCCCAGACATTCGTATTCATTGGTGAGTTAGTAATAACGAATTGACCTTTGACATTAGTCGCTGGAATAAAACTTTGTGATTTCTCATTATCTGGACTGAGAGGATGAATTGTAACCGGAACTGCTTCTTGTCCGACTTCAAGATTTGTATTTGCTGACTCGGATATTTCAGAGAGACTAATCGTATCAACTCCGGCAACTAACTCCGTCAAATCTGGAGATGGTAGTGTAATACAGTTGTGTGGCATTAACGGTGTTCCAGCTTGGCTTGTTCTGTACAGGAATTGTTTTTACAGAATATATATTTCCGAAATTACGTTTAAACGATAAGATCAGAGATAAAATAATTTGTTAATATATTTATAGTATAAATAACTTGAAATTATAATTATAAATAATTATAAATTTTTATTTCTAAAAGAACATACTTTTCGGTCTCTGTAGTCAGTTCGCTCGGCATAGCAGACACTCCGCCTGTATCTGCAGGCGTACGAGGGGAACTATTTTGTTCATTATTACCAGCCAATTCCGAATGTTTTATTAAGAACTGACTCCAAGGATCGGGCAAATGCGTATTATCGTCGGAAAGACCAGGCGGTCTCGAATTCATTTGTAACAGAAAGCAATTATTAGCACCATAAATAGTCTTCATCTCTGTAAAAACTGTTTCTGCTCTGAAAAATAGATTTTATATAGATATATACATTTGTTTAGAAAGAAGAACTGATTTATCAATTTAGCACACTTATAAAAAAAAGCTGAATTAATCAATTTTTCTTAAATCCGTTCAAATTTTAAAAAGGAATAACGTACTTACTTATTTCTGTCATCCTGAATAGCATCGTGAACTAAGATGTAATACCTAAGGGCATTATTATTGAACCATTTAGGCAACTTTCCTGGTATACTTTGATGCAATTGCGCTCCCATAGTCTGAATTCGCTCTAATGGATTGTCCTCCGCTGTAGAAACAACTATCATACATGCGAGCAGATGCTTTGTGAATTCGTGATCTGATGGAAACTGGACACTTAAAAACATTTCTCTCCATGCTTCGAACCAAGGAACAGAGACAGGGATATCCAACTCGGTCGCGCCAATGTGAATCGTAGTTGTACGTTCGCATAAAGCAGAACTAACCGCTTCGTTCAACAACTTTTTGGCAAGACTTGGTTCTGGTGGCCGCGCATTAATGTCTTGTATAGAAAGACGAAGATTTCTAATCGCTATAGTATTGCCTTGGGGATCCTTAAAGTGTCCTAAAGATAAACATGCGAACAGACTTATTATATGTAGTTCAGCCACAAAAGACAGACCTATGTGTACAAGGTATACCAAAAGTCAAGCTGCATTAACAATTTATGTAAATTATATTAATATTTATCTATTGTTTTGAGTCAATAATTTTGATTACAAGTTAATTTGAGATGATATCATAAGAGGCAATCTAGAATTCATAAAACTTTGGTAGTTTCAAGATTATCATAGCGAATTCTGTTGGATGCACTAGTGCATACTGGTGACATTAAATCCGTGTACACTAATTTAATCTGTGTAAAAGTGAAGTACAAATATTTTCCAAATGATAAAATACATATTTTATCAAATAACAATAAAGTATATTGAGGAATTTCAATACAAACAAACAAGTAAGATTTTTATAATACTGAAATAAATACAAAATTAAAATAGGATTAATAAAAATCTAATACAACAGTATGTTATATTTAATATATTTAAATATATTTAGTTATATTTAATAATATAATAAATAATTATATGAAAATTTTTGAAGTGTTTCTTGTTTATGATTCAATATGACTGAGATGAGTACTCAGAAACCTTCAGTCAGTATTCATAGTCAGTTCTCACTTCAAGACTATCTTAAGTAATGGCTTAAGTCAATAGATCTGTTCGACTTGCTTACACTTTTTACACTCAGCATCTTCGCTTTCTGTCTTTTCAGCACCAAATATATATCTATCTCATTTTAAGTATAAAAAGTGTAAGCAAGTCGAACAGACCAATTATGACTTTGTGATTAGCTTGTGACATCTTAAGACTGTACTTGGCGAATTCGACTTGCATTATATTGGATTAGTGCACATTAAAGGCTTGCTTGCTTTATATAAAATAGTATCTAAATGAAGTGACATAATATAATTAACTTAGATAATATATATATGAAATAATACATGTATACTATATTCATAACAAATAACATGACAATATCACTATTAAGTATTTAATCATTTAAAATATTTATATATTTTTACATTTCATTTTGCGAATTTCACACAATAGCTTTTAAGTGTGCACTAATCTATAAATATAATGCAATTAACCGAATTCGCTATAACACACACTTATGTCGATTTGTGTTTAATGGCCTTGATGCGCATCAATGTACAAGGAATGAGTTCAACTGAATTCGCTATTAATTAATAAAGCTTCTTAATTAGAGTATATAGAGTCTGAGTTTTGGTACATCCTGTATATATGTAGTTTACAGGTTTACATAATAATGCGTGTGTACATCTTTGGCGAACGGGTGATTTAGATTCTCGGCCACGGTTCTCGGCTTACCTTCGGTGTTCAATTTGCAAAATGGCTGGAGCAATTCGACGAACGACAGATTATTCTTTTGGCATGTGGCGTCGGCAGCGGCCGAGCAGACTACGGCGACCTGCGGGGAGAACGCATTGCCGATGAACTCCCGCGGGGTTAACTTGCACTGTGCCATGATTCTTGTGTGCGGGGCCGCCGTAACATAACCCGAAAGCCGCACCTCCTCACGCACGTAGCAGCGGGCGTAGCGTGTTTACCACCGACTCGCGATCATCCTATATACCACGATCACATCATTTCCAGCTCCTTCGTTATCTCGTGAATCGACGTCGTGATGCTGCCTCGGAATGACAACGCATCCCCGTACACTCGCACCGATAAACATATCCAGAATCCACCACCGCACCGAACTTCACCGAACAGCTGTTTTTTCTCCCTCCATCCCCAGTAATGTCCGCCATGGAGAAGACAATTGAACGAGAATCATGTGGGGTTGAATTTAGAGCAACCAATAAAAATTTAGCTTCAAATTTAGCGTAAGGGTGAAGTCCCATCAGGCATGTTTGCCGCGTATCGCGTAAGCGCATAACCAATCAATAATCAGTAAAACGCGAAACTATAACAGCAGATCGCTTCTGATTGGTTACGCGGTTATGCGATACGCGATAAATACACCGCATGGGACTCCATCCTAAGATATACAGTGCATATGTACAGTTCGCGCAATTACCCCGGATCTACAATAGGTGTTTTAAGCCTTAAGCCGTAAGAAATTGACCAATTATAGTCGAATTCAAGGAGAATAATCGACTATGATTCGTCCATTTCTTATGGCTTTAAGGCTTATAACTCTATTGTAGATCCGGGGTTATGCTTCGGTCTTATGGCCCGTCTACAATACACGTAGTAAGCTTGGTTTAAGATCAATATTACACGCGTCCATTTTTTGTCGTACGACAAATTTTTCAAGCCTGTCGATTGACTATAGGACAAAGAGGTTTGAGATTCTCTCTGTCTTGCAGCCAATTAACACGCTTGAAAAATTTATCATACAACAAAAGAACGGACACATGTAATATTGGCCTAAAAAGTAAGAATAAGGAATTGACCAATCACAGTCGATTATTCTTTTCACAATCGACCGTGGTCAATTTTTTACTCTTCTTAAATCAAGATTACTTCGCATATTGTAGACGACGCATTAACCCTAAAATCCTAAAATTCAGTCTTAATTGGTCTTAACTGAAATCTGTATTCTATTGGCTGAATTTTAGGATTTTAGAGCTAAGACCAAAGCATAAACCAGGCAATAACCTAAATTTAATCTATCGCAGATCATAGATAGGACCATATTGCTTTTTGTATTTGTAGCAATTCTCTAATTAATACTGCGTATCCAATAAACTAATCGGCCAATTTTTGTTAGAGTGATCCTAAACTCGATTAAGAGTTGGTTTATAATAGGCCATAATCTGTTAACTTTTTCTGCAATCCGTAAGAATTGACTAATCAGAGTCGAATGAGAGGAGAATAATCGACTATGATTGGTCAATTCTTATAGATACGGAAAAAGTTAACAGATTACGGCCTATTATAAACCAACTTTATTGGGTGCCATGTAAACGTAGTTTATAGATCTGTTCTTTTTCGAAAAATTCTGAACTAGTTCTGAACTAGTGTAATAAGTTAAAATGAAACAAGTTTAGTTACCTCACTCTAACTTACCAGTTTAGAATTTAGGGTGGTAAAAGAATAGACCTTATAGCATAGCTGAGCGTATCCATAGTGTAATGGGTGCATTCAGAAGCGCTCAATGAGCGTCGCTTCTGAATGCACTCAATAAAGAAGAGGTGTACTGTTGCACAAGAAGATGATTAACCAATGAGGATGGTGGAACAAGTGACCGGCCATATTAATATATCAGCCAATTAGCGTTTTTTCTGAGATACTCAAAATGTGGTATAATTTAAATAAGGAAATGTGACAATTAATGGCCGGTATTCATAGTCAGATCTTATGCCTGGTTTATGCTTCGGTTTTAACTCTAAAATCCTAAAATTCAGCCAATGGAATACAGATTTCCGTTAGGACCAATTAAGACTGATAACCCTATTGGCTGAATTTTAAGATTTTAGGGTTAAGACCGAAGCATAAACCAAGCATTATATTCAAGATCGTCTTAAGTTCAGCCTTGGTCACGAACCAATAAGAGGGCCGCACTAGCGTCTTAAGACGTTACTTAATGCGGTGTCTACAATAGAAGTCGTAGCGGTCGTAGGGTCTTAAGTCGTAGAAAATTGACCAATCACAGCTGATTATTCTTTTCATATTCGACTGTGATTTGTCAATTTTCTACGACTTAAAACTCTACAACTGCTACGACTTCTATTGTAGACTCCGCATAAGACTACTTGAAAAATAAAAATCGACTATGAATACTGGCCAATGACTTTATTTTGTTGAGCACTACTATTGTGACTTTTTATTATTAATTATTATTAATAATAATTTAATAATAATTATTATAAATCCCTTTTAGTTAATAATAATATTATTAAATTATTTATATATATGTGAAAACGGTAAAGATAAATAAATAAAATGCTTTATCAGAATTTATTAGAAAAAAAACGAAAAAAACTTTATTTTTTTACTTTCGCATTTTCACTGCAGTTTTTACACCCCTTAACGCTACATGCCACAGTTTTTTTTTACAAAAACATATTACAAGTAATACGTCAGTCTCTTTGTTTTCTTTGCTATGATTGTTTTCTTTTCCAATATGGAAGGCGACTTGTTCCAACGCCATATATGCGCAGAACGAGTCAAAATTTGGTGTATCTCACGAACACACCTTCTTCTTTATTATGCTGGATTTACACTGCATCCGATTTTCGTCGTACGCCGCTCTGCAACCAATCAGAAAACGGGATTCCGATGAATTTTGCTTCGTATTATCGGAATCCTGTTTTCTGATTAGATGCAGAGCGTTGTATGACGAAAATCGGATGCAGTGTGAATCCAGCATTACACCATGAGCGTATCCCTGAACTGGGAGCTTATTACGGTTTTTGTGACGAAGTGAAAATTATAAAAATGATCAAATTCACTAGAAGTTAACCAATGAAGTTATAAATATTTTAGTAAATTCAATCACTTTTGTAATTTTCACTTCGTCACAAAGAACCGTAATAAGCCCCCTGTTCCTGAATCCTGAACGCACCTGTGTAAATGAGAGAGAGAGAGAGAGAGAGAGAGAGAGAGAGTGGTGAAAGTCTCCCTTCTCTTATCTCGTAGAAAAAATCAATAATGTTCTCTATTGCGTGACGTCACATGATGTAAACGCATGGATAGGTCTCGCGATACTTGTTGATTTTATCCGGCAAGTATTATTTTACAAAAGTTGCACCAGGGGTAAGTACGTGCGATACACGGCTTGTTCCGTTTATTGAAAGCTCCCCTTACATCGTGTTACGATAACAATTATTGCCGATAAGTGTTAAATACTGATGAGTATTGATTACTTCTAAAACACGTAGATATGACGTTGCATTTATACGTAATCCACTCGTATGGAATTTAACATGAAAATTATTTTATTTTGTTATTATTTTATAAATACAGCCTCAATCGATATCGTTTAAATGTGTAATTATTAACATTCTTACAGACGGCGATTCGTATGTTTTCATTTTTTTTGGTAAATTGGTATGTGTAAAAACCGTAGATATCTTCTACCATCTGTTTGTCTTCTGTTTTTTGCTTCACCTGTTGCTCCTAGATTAGTGTCTATATAAAAAAAACTCATCGTTATTATTTGGATTTTATACATAAAATGCAAGTGTCGAATTATCCATATGAATATGTAAGATGTGTAGGTATGTTTACAATTACAACAATCAAAAGTTTGATAAAATTGCTATGTTGACAAAAAAGTGACATAAATACAAAATTAGCATTTTTGAGATAATGAAATCAACTATGAAAGCTAATTTTTGTTTGTAGAAAAACAACACATTTGTTGTTCATTTATTTATATAAAAAAGTTTCACAATTTAATATAAGAGATGCAAATTATACTATGGCTGAAGTGTATGAATTTTGAAAACTCATGACATAGTTCTAAAAATTTTTAATACCATAATTGAAAATATAACATGGGAAGAAAGTGAAATTATGAAACTTATATATTTATTATCCTAATTAAACATTGGTCTAATTCCGAATTTAAAAAATGCTCTACTGAAAAATTTCTAATTTTGAAATATATCATGTTTCTATCGACACAGCAAGTTACATAGCTTTATATAATGTAAAACATTTATAGAATAAACTTAACATATGTTTGCCTCTACATTGTAAGATTCATTTCATATATCATTTTACATATTATATTTATTAATATTCATCAATATTTATTAATCAATATTTGTTATATTTATTAACACTTATCGATATTTTTGTCATATGATGAGACATAAAACATTTTTAGACATGGAGCAAATAAGAGAATCACCCCAAATGCAATCTCACTCTTTGGAAGGTTTTATTCCCCTTCTCAGTCTTACTGAGGGATGTGGTGCTCTTCTTATAATCTTGATGGCTGTATGGACAGGACATTATAGAAACGGTTTCTCATGGAGATCTAATCCGAAACTCGAATTTAACTGGCATCCTTTATTAATGACTATAGGGCTCGTATTTTTATATGCCAATGGTACAATATAAAAGTAAAAAGCATCCTGCATCACACATATGCTCGTATACGTATGATTTATGAATCTGTTTTCTACTTGTAGCCATGCTTCTCTATAGGACGCAAAGAAATGTTCGCAAGCTGCGACTAAAGTTAACTCATGCAACAATGATGTTATCTATTTTATTGTTTGTGACAATCGCTTTAATAGCTGTCTTCGACAGTCACAATCTTGCTCGGCCTCCTATACCGAATCTGTATTCCCTACATAGTTGGGTTGGATTGACTACCATAATATTATTCTGCTGTCAGGTAAATCTATGAAACTTATCTGACAATCTTGCATTCATAGATATATGTGTCAATGTATCTTTGTTTACAGTGGTTCGCTGGATATGTTTTCTTCCTTTATCCCGGGTTAAAAATTCCATTACGGGCTTCTTATATGCCATTACATGTATTTTTTGGCATTGCAGGCTTCGTGAGCGCAATTTTTACGTGCTTGTTGGGACTCAACGAGAAAGCGCTCTTTGAATTACAGTTAGTAGTGGTAGACTGTTCGTAAACATGATGAGTAATAAAAAAATACATTTTTTATTTGAAATTTCAGAGATAAATATTCAGCTTTCGAGAGCGAAGGAATACTGATAAACTTTATAGGATTGCTGCTCGTATTGTTTGGAGGCTTATCTGTATATTTAGTAACGCAGGAACGTTATCGGCGTTTGTCGAGATCTGAGGATGAAATCCTGTTAGGGGGCTAATATACGAATTATGTGATGTGTTGCCAGATATGTTCCTTAATATAATTAACCGGATGGTTGTTATTGCAAACTTAATAAGTATTTACTTAACAAGTATTTACTACAAGTTCCTTGTGTGAGTTTTATGTTAACTTTATAAATAAGGTTGACCCAATTGATTGAAGCACATACACAAAAAAGAAACAATGACCACGTTTATGTTGGACAAAACTGCTAGCTTTTTTACTAAGCAATTAAACGTGATTGATTGGACTGTTGAGAAAAATTCTTAATGTTTTTAAGAATTTTTCAGATTTTAAAGAAATATATAAAGATCGGTCCAAAGTGTTCAACTAAAATCTCATCACTTTTTAAAAATATTAAAAAAAAATATTTCAATTTATATAAAAAATCTGAAAAAATTTTCTAAAGTTACAAAATTAATATGAAAATTTTGAAATTATATAAAAATTCTGAAAAATTCTGAAGAATTCTAAGAAAAAGTTTCATCACAAAATCAATTGTGTACAATTGCTTAGTAAGCAAGCTAGCTCCCTGGTTTCAACACGACCAATATTTTATCATATCTTTTTGTATTCTAGTCTAAGTACAGCTTCTTATTGACTTTTTGATATTATCTTAATAGATGAAAAATATATATATATTTATAAGTTGATATTTATATATTAATTCAGAAGTAATCATTTTTCTGGAAACTATGGTGCTATTACACAATATATATGTAATATATAATTGTTACACACAATGAAAATGTATATTTTATGGCTTATATTTTTGAATAATTTAATTAACAGTTGATTGAAATGTAATATATACACATATACATGTATAAATATGTAATATCAATATATGAGATCTCATCATAAAAGTAATTTTAATTTATGGAAACGATCGTTTTCTAAAAGACAACAAAGCTCATACAGAAAGTGAATCAATTTATTAATGTAAATATGATTAATATAAATCCAAAATGTTCAAAAAGCCAGTCACGCTTTATTTTATCTTATCAAATTATTTCCTAAAAAACATTAAAACAGAGATACAAAATATCTCTTTTGTTTTTTTTATTCCTGCACTAGATTACACTAGAATTTCCTTTCTCACTTTCGCTAAATATCAAATATAAATCTATAGGATCTATTTCACTTTAAGGACGGAATCCATAGACGTTGCTCAAGATTCGAAATGGTCTTAAACTAATGCATGAACCAATCAGAGAGCCGTATTAGCATCTTAAGACATTGCTTGAGATTAAGAACGGACTATGGATCCCAGCCTAAGTTCTAAAGTACATTAGTTCAAGTATAGAAACAAATGGCTCCGTTTGTTTCTTTTTCTAAATCGCAATCTTATTCAAAAAGCGTGACCGAAAACCGGAATCGTGATCTCTTTAAAAATTAACATTCTCTCTCTCTTACAATAAATAATGTTCCTGTAAAAATTAATGTTTCTATTGTTACAGGAACTTTATCAAAAATTCACTCACACCGCCCCCAGATATTTTCGCCCTCTGGCTCTGCATTTCCGAACCAATCGACAGCGGTAACGAAAACAAAAAAAAAAAAAGAAAAATAACATTTCGCGCCGTCGTACCGTGCGGTGTACGCGCGCATATATCGTCGTGGCCTATTTAATTCGTGACGGAACACACCCATTCCGCGCTTATGCAATTGTAAACTGATTGTAAACATCGTCGTGCAACCATCGCCGACGTATTCTCGCATCTCCGCGACGCGTGTATCACGTGTGTGGGTACACGCGACGTCGCGTTTCTGACTAGCTTCACGGCATTATAAGTGTCCCTCAGCCATCGGAATCTTTAGATAAGGATTGCCGCGCGAGCTGACAACTGCGGCACTCGGTCCTCGAAGATTCTCTTCGTTCTTTCTTCTTTTCTCGCGCGGAAAGTAATTCGGTGTGAACGTTCGATAGTGCGATAAAAATAATAAATCATTCAATGGTTAACCAAATACCTGTGCCGCAGGCCAAGTATGAATTACTAACCAACATACGACAGTGAGTATCGAAAGCCTCTGCGAAATGAAAGCGCTCGGAAGGCGAACGCTTCGCCCTTCGGAGCTGCTTTTATAATCATTTTATAATTAATACATGCGGGAGAAGGGGGAGGGGATAAGTACGCGAAAGAGGGACGGAGAGAGATAAAGGAAATTTGTATCGATTTCTCGAGCTACGACAAACAGTATACGTACGTCATCGCTGGCTTTTGAACTTCCCCGCTTCTCGACGCGAAAGGTGCTTGTCGTTATTTGTATAAACGCGAGTAGACTGACAGGTTTTCCGTATCTGATTGTCTTATATGTAGATTGAATACAATCTGGCCTGAAATAAAGACTGCTTTCAGACCACGCTGGAGAACGCAGGTCGTTTGCCTCACTTTATCATTCCTGATTGTCGGGGTGCTGTTTATCACGCGCGCTTGGTTCGGCATACTTATATTAAAATCTCCGAGGACCACCAGATTCATCGAGGAACACATTGACGATGCCAAGATTGCTACGTGGCTACGTCGGGCTCGGATGTACGCCGAGTCGACGAAGGAGAATCAGAATGCGGACAGGAACACAAGTGTCAGCGCATCGGAGCAACACCGCTACGATACAACCGGGTGAGACTCTCCGAGCCGATATGATTTGTTTTATCCATTTTAGATTTACACATATCTAGTAAACAGAATATTAACATTGTGCTAGCAGTTTATCATTCAGAATACTACATCATATTGGCATCAATTGTATCTGTGTTGAAATTATGTTTTGCAATCAGTTTGTCGACATAGGATATGATCCACTTGATGCTGCAAATGCTTTAAAGCATTCTTTAATTCGTCACTTCGTAAAATTCTTTTGATAAGTCAACGTAGCATTTGCAGCATTAATTGGTTTTATATCCCTAATCTGACAGCAGAAATTATTAAGGATGTTTTTATCTGTATACTAATAAATACCCTAAGTTTTTTTTGTCATTATTTTACATTTCCGAGAAATATTCCCCATGAGGAGTCAGGCTACTTAAAATCAGAACAGAGCTGATTGGTTGGCCCTACTATTTCATCTTTCCAATTCCGTTTTCTGATTCCATTTTCCGTGTCCATGGAATGGCACCCTCTCAAATACATATATATAACATCCAACTATGAAATCAGTTTTAATTTTTTTATATGACTACTTTAAATATGCAAATGATTTATATAAAATTCCATTATGATGCAGAGATTAATTGTTCTAATGGAAATAAATAAATAAATAAACAAAGTTTATTTATTTCCATTAGAGCAATTTCCATTAGGTAAAAACTATTACTTTTTATTGAAATAACTTTTTATCCAAGTCTTAAACCGCCGCTGAATTTTTACTTTTAAATGCGATCTAGAATAATCTGTAATTTTTTCATTATTTTAAAATTTTGTGTAAAACATTCATATATGTAATACTCCTATATTGCTAACGCCAATTAATAGCTGGCGAAAATACCACGGTGCAGACGAATGTCTACCTCTTACATAGTGTACAGCGCACATGCGCACCACACTCGAGTACACTGTGGAAGTGAGAGATTCGATATTCTCTATCTCGCTATCTTTGTATACTCCCCACTCCCAAAACGAGGTTGCATTAGCAATATAGGAGTATTACATATATGAATACATTTTTAATGATTCCACTGAGTTTTTCATAAATAATTTTAAATTCTCTTAAAACACTTACACAAAAAATTGAGGTTTTTGTTAATATTTTTTAAATTCTAGTATTACAGCAATAGAAAATAACGAATAAAGGAAATAAACTATACCGCGTCCCACGGAGAGAACTACCACGATCCACACATTTTATGATCAAATTGGAGAACTCGAGCGCGTTATTTACTTCCGTATGCGTTATTGTCATATCTCCTTGGCTAACCCAAGAGTACAATAATAATGCATGCGGAATTAAATAATGCGCTCGAGTCCTCCAATCTGATAACAATGTGTTACATAAAAATGTGTTATATGAAGATGTGTTTAATAAACATAAAATGTTTTAAATACAACTTTTGCATATATAGTTTATTTAAAGTATAATATTAACATTTATAAAAATGGGTAAGATACATCCTTAAATATACCTAAAAATTTAAATGGAATATATAATATATATATATATATATCAAAAAATCTAGCATTTTGTTGATTAAAATTTGTAACAAATCATGTACAATCCGATTTTTACATATTTAACTATCCAGCAATCTGAGTCTATGTTATTTGAAATCTATTCTATGTTTAGCCAGGTCCTCGTGTGCTACTATACAATACCGGGGGACCTGAACACGTCGTGGGAGCTCAGTCCGTCGCACATTGACCCTCATATTTGTACGCATATTATCGTGGGTTTTGCGGGCGTGGTGAACAATACGCTCGACATAGGCAACGATGCGCCGATTTATGAGCGAGTAGTTGCTTTAAAGAATCTTGAACCTAATTTGAAGGTCATGATCAGTGCCGGCGGAAATAATGAGCTCCATAATGGTTTCTCCGAGATGGTAAAAAATCACGCGAATAGAAAAAAGTATGTCCACCATGCTGCTTTTCATTCCTATAATACATATCCTAGATATTCAAATATTATAAACATGTCCCTATGTTCAGGTTTATCCAGTCAGTATTAAACATTATCAAAATCTTCCATTTGGATGGTTTTGACGTTGATTGGGAGTTTCCAGCCTGGTTAGGGGCGGACGAGCGTGAAAAAATACACTTTGCGCAATTATTACAAGAATTACGAAAAGAATTTGATCGTAGTGGACAAAAATTGATTTTAACAGTAGCAGTTGCAGCGCCACAGGCCATTGTGGACCAGAGTTACAGTATTCCTGAAATGGCAGAGTATGTACTGTATTACAAGAATATGATAATTATGGAATATCATAAAATAATACAAATTGTGTCATATTTTTCAGGCACATTGACTTTATAAATCTCATGTCATATGATTATCATTTTTACGTTTGGTACTTCCCGGTAACAGATCTGAATGCCCCACTCTTAAATGTGAATTTCTCTGCTCAATACTGGGTAGCGAAGGGAATGCCACGGGAGAAGATTGTTATTGGTATACCGGCTTATGGTCACACATACAAACTGGACAATCCATTGAATCATGATTTACAAGCGCCGACTAGCGGATTCGGAAAGCTTGGTGTAAAAGGCTTCGTGTCTTATCCTACGATTTGTCAATTTTTAAAATCCGGAGCTGAGAGCGTTTTTAATAAAGAAAGTCGTGTGCCATATGCGTTCAAAGACAGGGAATGGATAT